ATCGAGGATTCAACCAAATTCAAAAATTTCTTCGCCCAAATGTTTCAAATAAAGTCTAGATTCGTTTTAGCGAAAAAAAATTTTTGGGGTTAGGTGCACTTTAAAGCTTATCTGCAGTTGGCAAGAGTTTTTTCCTCTTGAACTTAACATTTTAGCGTTTTTGTTATAAAATATCATTTCTCTATGACAAATTGGTTGCACTCTAGCTGTAAATACTTCTTTTTTAAATTTTACTGGAAGTTGTACAAGTGTAACTACAGCTAGTAGTAAGTAATGACGTCTACATGTATGAGTAAATATTATATGGCTACATGCACATATGTAGCTCTGTGAGCAGGCAAAATGTGCAAACCCTGCGCTGTGACTGGCTTCCCAAGCCGGCAGGATGGCACCATCTTGCCCACTCTGGATTACAAGCTGTTTCCTGCAAGAAAATAAGCCATATAATAAATCCTTTGTTAACCAAGATTGTTTGGTCAAGATCGCAGGATATTGGCCTTGCTCTTTTTTGCGCATAAACATGCAAAAAAAGAACAAAGAAGAAGGCCAATAACCAGCCATTGACTGACCCCACACTTGGTTAATAACCCATGTGTATTGGTCACAGCATTTCATTGTCATACGTTTAGTTCAATACGAAGCTACTGTTGCAAGTAGTTAGGGAGTGCTCCGACTTTTAAAATCTTTTGTCTTCAGAACTAAGTATTAATGTACATGTTATGTCACTGATCCGTTTAATTCCCTACCTGTCAGTTTTTCATATGTGACTTATTATTGTCAAAATACCCTGCAAAACAGCTTTTTTTTTGTACTTGTTTTGTTTAGATTTATCATCGAGAGCACAGGCGTACAAAATGCCAACATTAGGTGGACAGTAAGAGTCGGCTCCAACAAAATTAAAATTATAATTTCTTCTTCTCTATATGTACATGTACCTTAATAATAAACATTCTGCAACTCATTACAGTGATAGATCACTTTGTCATCTTTTCAAGTTGTTACATTTGAAGCAAATTTTTGCTGTGAATCAAATTAATGCAGGGTTTTTATGGTCGAGTTCCTTTTTGCCTGGGGTGTTGAATTTTGTTGAATATTCTCACAAGTAATCTGTTCATGAGTGAACATTCAAAGTGATGAACTGAACAGTCAAACATGTGATCCAGTGTATATTTAACCAGATACAGTTTGCATGTGTCAGTTGTATCATGCCTTTGTTTACTTTCAGACAAAGAATCTTGAGTTTCTTAAGATAACAATGACAAATTATTGGTCAGCAGTCATAATCATTCCTTGTAGAGCCTCTAGCGTGGGTGGCAAAGGGTTTATGCATGACCTGTGACGAGGGCAAAAATTGGTGTCTTATGCATGTGAATTTACAGTAGCTACATATAATAGTGTAATTTGATGCATGAATTGTGTTAAAATTCCTGTATTAAATGGGTTCACAAACCCACTTTGTTACCCTCTCAAAGGATCACTTGTATGCTATGGTCCTCACCCAGAGACATCATCTATATTTAATTACTAGGATTATTTTAAGACTTGCATTAGTCAGACTCTTCAGCTCAGAAATTAACTTCCTCCTACATGTCCTTGTACGTGTATGAATAAAATTTAAATCCTAGTTAACACATGTGGTTTTATTTTACAGTTTCAGCTGAATGACAGTCACTACATGGCCTATGTGCACTGGGCAGGAGATGGCAGGGACACTATTGTGGTGTTGACACGTGACAGAAATCCAGGCTTGAACAGCAACAGCCATGTGTGGATTTCAAGAGATTATAGTCGTACCTTTGAGAATCGCACAAACGCTTTTAAGCAACGGAATGGCGACTTTGCTCTTATTGACATGTTTTATCCTTCTCCAGTAGATAATACAAAGGTTAGTATAGTTAAAAGCTGTTGGTGGATGAGGGATGCCAAGGGGAGAATTTGTAAACATGCTGCAGTACATGACTGTATTCTAAATGGTTTGGACCAGAGAATGTCATTTAGTAGTTTTAATTTATATTGACATATTATGTATTTTAGGTCATGAATGATTTCAACATTTTTTAAACCAAATTCTTTTCACCTTTTGGGAGTTCTTAAAAAGAATAACATGCACACCACCCAACCCCCTGAGTCCCTGCCCTGCCAGGATCCCATATCACCCCCTTCTCCAGGTCTTTTTTTTATTTTATACTAACCTAGATTCAATGAGCTGTCAGCTCAGACTGTGAATCTTTTGACAGTCCAAGGGCACTGGTCATTGTCCAGACGAGAATTAATCTTGGTTGGGATGATTTTTGGTCATAAATGTATTGTTTTATCCAGGGGTTTTGTCAATGTTTTCAGCAGTAGGGCAACTGGTTTTCACAGGTGGCAGAAATTTTGGAACTGAACTTCTAAAAATAGTTCTTCTACATGGTCAAACCAGGCGGGCAAAATCATCCTCACAGCCGGTCAATTTGCCCAGTGCCCAGCCCTCAATAAAACCCCTGTTTATGTTGAATTCCCTTGCTTCTTACATGTAATACAGTCATGTACTGACTTACATGTACAGGTTGACTCTGGTCTAATAATGTCAGACCAAGCTAAGCATGGCAAGTACAGCAGCTTGTTAGTGTATAATGTTATGTTGGGTAGCTGATGTGTGGTTATGCTGTTATGCGGTTATATTGCTTCCACCCCAGAGATCAAGGGGCCATAGGAAAAGGGGACACCCTTACTTCCTGCCACATGTCAGAACTGAATGTCAAGAACGCTGTTTTGTGGACAGATGCCTTTTCAATTTTATTTAATTGTTATTCATACATTCCTAGTTTGTAATTAATCATACAGTAGTTTGTAATTAGTTTTTTTAGTAGTTAGTTATATAAAATTGAGTCCAGACGTATGACTCTGGGTATGTTTCTTTTGCCATTTACTATTTATTAATAAAGAATTGTTATTCCTGTTATAAATTGTAAGCTTAGGGTAGTTTCAACAGGAAATGTTTTTTTCACTTTCAGTATCTCTTTGTGGATACACGCCACAGACTCATATTCAGCTCAAGAGATGACTGTGTCTCATTCCTGCGAAGCCATGTGTCATTTAAGCCAGATGAGATCTCTTTCCACTCAGCTAGCAGTGATGTTGTTTTATCTTATGATGAGTCAGCAAAAAAGGTAATTTTTATTTTAGACACTTTCAAGAGCTGTGTATTATTTTAATAAGGTTATCTTGGGAGCATTTTCATGACAGAAATTGCTTTCTATTTGTTATTTATCACTGACAACTATTTCAATATTTATATTAGGTACATACATACACTGTAGGCCTTGTTCCTAGGACTATGAGATAAATGAGTTAATTGGTTGACTTGCCTTCTTGCAAAGCCAATCAATTAGGATCAGGCTCATGAAGCTTGTCCACTCAAAGAGGTAGTCTTGCCCAAGATGTCTGCACTACACAGTGACCCTGGCTAGGACTCGAACTTGAACCACTTGATTCAGTTGAACTCGCTGATCATTAGTCCACTATTCAGTTGCTACCCTCATACCATGAAAAATTTTGCTAGTCCTGTCATGAGTGTATGCGACTTTACAAGGGCTTTTGGGTGGGTGTATAAACAGGGGAGAATTATATCTGGGGAGGGATGGGAGCTTATAAGCAGTATGAAAAGATATGTTTTGCACAAGTAAGGACACAGTTCTGTCTAGGATGAGCTAAGTCATTGTGTGGACCCTCCTCGTAATGGCTTTAATAGTGGAGCTACTTAGATAAAGCTCTTAACATAAGATTAAGTTGAAGTCTTTTTAAGTGTGAAGAGCGATGACGATGATACACTTAAAACTACACACCGTGTGTATAATAATTATTCATCATGTAAATTTGCTTTTTTATAACTGTTGCCAGGTTTAACTTTGAAGTGTTTGCCTTTTGAAGTTGTTATTAAGTTTGATAATTTTTTTGTGTGTTGACAGCTTTATTATTCCAGTGATTTTGGATTTTCGTGGTCTTTGAAAGATGAGAATGTAAAATCATATTATTGGTAAGTCTGTCAGCATTTTTCAGATTAGTGCAGAGTCTAGAATTTTGGATAATTTGTAAGTAAGAAAATTATTTATATGGTTAACTGGAAGGTTAAATGGTAGGTAGGTGCCTGCATGGGGTATCCAGGGGCTTCCACTATGGCTAGATAGAATAAATTGTCACCATGCCTGGCAAATCCTGACAACCCAGTCATGCATGAGCCCGGGCCATTCCAGGCATCAGTCAACTGATTAAATCAGTGGAAGGACAAAATAGAGGCTGGAGTTGGGGAATGCCTGAAACACCACTACAAAACTGCTTGGGACTGCTGAAACATTAACTGACTTCAAAGCCACTGTAAAAAAAGCTGATTTTGAACTTGAAGTCTAAGAACCAGCCATAATGAAGCTTCAAGTTTTCTTGTGAGCCTGCACTTGTGAGTTTAGCCATTGACCAGATCGGAAGAGCCTGCTAAACTTGCAGCAGCTGAAATTGTTAAATTTTCATGTAACTAAATGATACTTTGCACTTTAATTTTAACAAATGAAGGGGAACGAAGTCACTTTATCTTCATTCAGAATTAACAATTTTGTGGTACAGATCAAAACATCCCAAACCTTATTAACATTTGAGGTAAAAGTATCAGACACAAGCTTGAAAACAGCATGACAGTGTTTACTTTTCACTGAGTTGCTGCTTCTGGCCTGCATCAGAACCTTTTACTGAACCACTCCTGTGTAATAAAATGTCTGTTTTATTTTAATGTATTGTTTTCTGTCAACAGGGGTATTCCTCCATGGGACA